CATCAATATGATCACGTGCCATCATGTCTGACGTCATCGTTAATTGCTGCAACTGTTATAGTCATGAAGGTAACAGCAACAACTGCAGCAACGTGTTTTCCTCATATTAAACCACATCATTCGATCTATGTGTTTCGAAACCTTTCCTTATTAACCATGATAACCTTTAAGTAAAGCATCTCCTGCTGATCAAACTGTGAAGACAATCCAATGTATGTATAGTGTTACCTAATAATGTTGGCAGCGAGCAAAAATGCTTCAAATTGCATCACGCTAGTCATCTGATAAACGCTGACTCATCAGTAGCCCTTGTCATAAGCTGCATGGTTTCTCTATTGGTAAAGCCATTATCATTCCTTCCGATCAAAAGTCTTTTTTTTTTTGCACGTTAGTCACTAGCGAGAGACGTTTTTTTTTTGTTAACCGTTTTTTTTTTCTATTTTTTTAAAATCTGTAATTATAATAAATAATTATAACATATTGTAATTATAAAGTATTTCTAACATCTTAACATCTTAACATCTTAACATCTTAACATCAAAACGTTTTTGCAGCGCTGATAAAACTGAGGTGGCAAAATCTGGCAAAAAAAAAAATTAAAATATCAACCTTGCTATTTAGCTATTAGGCTCAAAAATTGAGTTGTACATCCAGATAACTTCCCTGTAAAACACAGTTTTCTGCATTCTTCAGGGCCTGGGTAAGCCAAAAGATCCTCAATAATGATGTGTCACCCAGAAAACTGTTTCGAAGAAAGTAAACCACATATGTTTTTAGTTGGGTTTTGTAAGGCTAAATGTCAGGGGAAATATGAAGAGAAAATCTACAAACAATGATGACAATTTGTGGGATTTCATGAATGTATCATTAACAATTGTTGATGAGTTTTTCTGTTGGAAAGCCAATGATTGGTTAAATTTCAACCAATTYAGACAAAATTATAAAACAACAAATGGTTTAAAGACCCATTGCCACTTACCGTGATGCATCKCAGTCACAGATGAATTTCGTGGTCCATGAAATTCAAAGATTCATATATTCATAAAATGATTATTTTACATTCTTTAAGAGTTTATCCAAAAGGTTAGAATTGTTTTCTCAGTGGTGACACGATTCAAAATGTAAACAAATTGTGATRCATCATGGTAAGTGGCAATAGGTCTTTAAGTCAAAAAAAAWGCAATCTGGATCCCCTTAGAATATTATAACAGTTGCTTGTGCAGAAGACAAAATAAATGATCACTAGAAATACAAAAGTTTGCAAATTTATCTATAAATATTAGTTTAATATCAATGAATTGATTCAATCAGCATATTGCAATCGATACCGGCTCACTATTTTAAACTCTGCAATGATATATATATTTCTATACCAACATTACTACTGTAGCAGTTATTTACACTCATAAAAAAATGTCCCAACGATTCTTAAATACATTATGCATCTATATATAGATATTAAATGAAAAGCTTATATAAGAGTGYGTGCCATATATCCCGTGAAAAAGTTAACTAACAAAATTTAATTGTTTAAAGTGCTACTACGACGAAAATCGCTCAAACTTGGATTCAGCTGAAACTTCCTAAAAATACTCTTTAAAGGTCCAATAATCACTGTATGAAGTGTTTTCTCGATATTCAGTACGAAAGTATGATATTTTTACGATTATTTTTTGGAGTCTGTGACATCATACACTCAACATCAAACATTGCTACATATATTTCTTTGTATACAAGTCCTTAATTTATTTTATTCCTATGAAGCCCAAAGGGTGGCTAATGTGCTTATTTCACATTACTTGTGACTATAATTTATATTTTGGGGTGTTTGGGTATTTCTTTCTCCCTTTACTACTGATATTTTGATCATAAACTACAAAGAAATGTATGGAGCGATGTTCGATGTTGAGTGTATGATGTCACAGACTCCAAAAAGTAATCATAAAAATATCATACTTTCGTCCTGAATATCGAGAAAACACTTCATACAGTGATTATTGGACCTTTGAAGAGTATTCTTAGGAAGTTTCAGCTGAATCCAAGTTTGAGCGATTTTCGTCGTAGTAGCACTTTAAATTAACGCAAAGATTTGTAGGTCTACGCCCTACTGAGGTCTACTGAATTCACTAATTTRTTTACATTTGTACAATTTCTTAAAACTTTTTTCACTGATATATTGTATGCACTTCATGATACATAATAAAAGATTGCAATACTCTGTTGCAAAAATTATAACCTTGAATTCTCCCTCGACACTAATTCATTGCAGTAAGGATTGAAGGATATTACCAAGGGCCTCACTCATGTGGCAGCCATCTTTATTCTCATTAGAATAAAAAATTTTGCATCAACTGCATAAATGTATTCTCAAGCACTTGAATGTGAGGCTAAATGGCTGCCACATTTCTAAGGCCGATGACTAAATCATTATTTATTTGATCCTAGAAATTATAAAAATTCCCTTCCCGAGTAAAACTCTTAGCCTCTAAGAAAACAGCAGTTCCCAGAMCCAATTAACTTTGAGGACAGAACAATGAATTTAAATAGGCCCTTTGCAGTTAACGGTCACATGTCTGTACTGGGATGCAAAATTTTTGTTTTTATGTAGTTTTATTACAATCTCTCGAAACAGGTTGCAGAAAGTTTGTTTGCAGTCCAGTAAATTTCACCCATGGGAATCAAAATGTTCATTCATTTGCTCTCAGTGAATTAATCAGCACGTGATTGCTTAGCTGCAAAGGGCCTATTCCAACAAAAAAAGAATTTTGTATTGAAGTGTCCTCTGAAATGAGCTGCATTAGAAATATCCTGCAAGAGAACTATTCTTGTAGAAACCATGCCTACCAAACTCCTGTCTGGGAACTGCCAGGATATTTGATATACCATATATACATTACAAAGCTAATTCCAAAAGTTATCATAGCCATAGATGGTCCTAATATACCTAAATTATTTATGAGAAAACTCTATGCTTCTATAAAATACTGTAAAAAAAAATCAATTAAATAGATTTATAGCAGCGAAATGGGTTCTCATTAAATGTTTTTGAAAATGTAATGGTTTCCCAAGACTATAATGGTTTTCTAAGCAATACGATGGTTTTCCAAGCACTACAATGGTTTTCCAAGCATTACAATTGTTTTCCAAGCACTACAATGGTTTTCCAAGCACTGCAATGTGTTTCAAAGCACTGCAATGTGTTTCCAAGCACTACAATGGTTCTCAAAGCACTGCAATGGGTTTACAAGCACTGCAATGGCTTTACAACGCTACGATGGTTTTCCAACACTACAATGGTTTTCCAAGCACTACAATAGTTTTGAAAGCACTGCAATGGGTTTCCAAGCACTACAATGGTTCTGAAAGCACTGCAATGGGTTTCCAAGCACTACAATGGCTTTACAACACTACAATGGATTTCCAACACTACAATGGTTTTCCAACACTACAATGGTTTATCCAAGCACAGTTTCGCCTCCTCGCAATAAAGTCTTTTTTACAATGCACTTAACTCAGTGGAACACACCAACACACTTAGTAACGAATTTCTGATACTATTTTAGTATCAAAATAAAAGAAATATTTCAAGAATATGTAATCTTTAACCAAAATAAGATGAAGTGCCTAGATAATCCGAAGTAGTCTCAGACTGTGGTGACCTCCCGAGAACAAGTATTTACGAAGTTGTTTGCGTCGGATTCCTGGTCACTGGACCGAGTAATGACTGTTTCTGTTCCCAAGCCATTTGAATCTAGAAGAGTACAACTACTATTTAAATCATTTTGAGTCGTATTTTGTCCTGATTCTGAACGATGAGACTGATCTTGTTCTGTTAAACTTGTGGAATGATGATTTGAAGATGACGAGCTTGTTACAGGCTCATTACTATTCATAAATCCATTGAGTAAAATTACTGGATTCGATGACCAAACATTCCTTGTCAAATGTTCTCTATTATTACTCTCTAAAGGCGAAGAAAAACGCTCAATATCCTCACAATTCGTTCTCCAAAAGAATAAAATCCTCTTAAATGACCGCCAACTCCAAATGGTCTGCCTACTTGAAGGTTTCTCGTTAAACGAGTTTGACGAGTCGTTGTTGGACCAAGAATCAAACTGAACCTCGATTCCTGGGCATGAAGAATCGCCGTTGGCTTGTCGATGCGATCTTCTCAATCTCCACATCCAAAACCATAGCGTTAAACTGCAATTACATGATAAACTCTCGAGACGCTCTCTCCATCTTCGTTGGCCGAATCTCTCGAGGAAGTAATCGTTATAACACACAATCAACAAAGACACGGAAAGAGCAGCGATAAAGATCAAAAATGGAGCCATTTCGGATGTAAGATTRCTTTTCTTTTTTACTTCACAGGATTTTTTTTCACATGAATGTCCTTCTGGACAATGGCTGTTGTTGAGGCAGCTCTTTCTCGTGCAAGACAAGTCAYTAGTACAGTTCACACATATCCCGAGCAGGCATCTACTTTCGCTTCCACACTCATGGTCCGACTGACAAATGTGTTCACACTTTAGTTTTGACCAAGTACAATTCCCTTTACAACAGTATTCGAAGTGAAAGCAGTCTTTATCTGATGAACAGGCCGAAGCTTGACACGAGGAAATTAGACTTACAGCTACGAAGAAGAGAGAAGTTACTTTATACGCTTCCATTTTGCTCTCTGTTGTTGTTGTAACATAACAAGCCTTAATCCTTCTACCAGGGTCTACCCAGGTCGAGTAGGCCTTTGTGACGTCATTATTATATTTAATGCACGAGAGCCGTGGCCAAGAAAACTGTTATTTTCTCGGTTCCCATGACCTCGGGCTCATCCAAAGAAGCTGAAGTAATTTCAAATGCACGATATTACTGGATTTAACTTGGAACTATCTTTCATTACTAGACCTGTAGCCGATAGGAAGTAGATAACTGATTATGAATCGATTCGCTTTGCTTCGCTTCTTTTGATAAGTAGTAGTTATTCATGCGCACCAAGAATAATAAATAACGTCACCACAGGTATTCCAACCCCAAGTGTCTAGCCTTTTTTTCTGACCTATGTGTGTTGTGTGTTGTGTGGTGTGTGTGGTGTATGTGTGTGGTGTGTGTGATGTATGTGTGTGTTGTGGGTGATGTGATGTATGTGTGTTGTGTGCGTGATGTGGTGTATGCGTGTGGTGTGTGTGATGTATGTGTGTGTTGTGTGGGTGATGTGATGTGTGTGTGTGGTGTGTGTGATGTGATGTGTGTGTGTGGTGTGCGTGATGTGATGTATGTGTGTGGTGTGGGTGATGTATGTGTGTGGTATGCGTGATGTGGTGTATGTGTGTGGTGGGGGTGATGTGATGTATGTGTGTGGTGTGCGTGATGTGATGTGTGTGTGTGGTGTGTGTGATGTGATGTGTGGTGTGTGTGATGTGATGTATGTGTGTGGTGTGCGTGATGTGATGTGTGTGT